ATACTTCTTCCTCTTTAAGGTTAAACTTTTATGTACATTTTGTTTTTCACCAACACGGGTAGTAACAAAAGTGACGAGTTGTCATAATCACAGTTACTCATACTAATCAATACATAGAGCTGTTAGAGTTACTTAGTAAGATGAATCATTTAATGAATGAATTGTAATCATGATGCATTTAGAAACGAAGGAAAGTGTGATATCACACAAGAGTTTGGTGCGTTGGTAGCACGGCGATTAGGACGCTCGCCAACCATGCACATGGTCCGGGGTTCGATTCCCGGCCACTGACTCACTCCTTTACCTTGCTAAGCCAAAAATAATGCTGGTAAAGAGGAAAGGTTGGGTATGAGGCTATCAACCCCATCCTGTAGAATTAAAAACTGCTACATAAACTTCAAACCACTAGCTTGAGGCCCTATGTTCCATTGGGAACGTGAAGGAAAAAAAACGCAAGATTTTGAAAGAAATTAATGAGTTATAGTGATTTGAAAGTATAAACAGAAATCAAGTTGGCAGAGAAGAACAACAAGTTCGTTATCGTGATATTTGTGTAACACAGCAGAACACACAACAGAATTTACAAGTGGAATTAATTGTTGACACCTTGATATATAGGTATACAAGCAAAATATGTCTACGATTTGCCCATATCAGTAACAACAACAACAGCAACAGTAATCGCTTCATTCTCAAAAGTTCATTTAGACACGATAACAGAATCTTTAGCGAGGTATTTATTCTATGTGAAGAATCTTCAAGTAACATAACCGATAATCTGTTATATGAAGCAATATCGTTTCATCCGACCCATGTCCCAGTGTAACAACAGAAGACAAGGGCCATGCAACAGATCGTTTATTAAGGAAATCAACCCATATTTATAGATTTTCATGTACATTAGCATAGATTATTGTTAGCACAAAAACACAGTCTTCTGATTTGTGGTTGTTTCTCACAGAAAGTTAAACTCGCATCTCTTTGTGACTGTTTCTTGAATGTCAGATAATCTATCTGCAAATTGTATCCGCCTATGCAAAGGCTGCTGTGACTGGTTGTTGAATCAGTCTTTGTTCTTATTTTTCTCACGACCAATATTGGGGACGTAAACATTGACGTGAATTACTGTCTACCAATTTTGGCTAGCAGCCAGCTCTCACCACACCAGTACTACTCCGTAATGTGTTCTTTCTCTATTTCCTTTGAAAAATTCCTAGCCATAGGTAGGAACTGATTTGAAATTATGATTATTTGATGATGAAAACAATATGAAAGGCAGTAAAAATGATACATTTTGATGGTTGGAGAATATTGGGGAGGCCAGTGATTTAAACAGGCCGGCAATGTGCTAACTTTAGTCTTCCGCGTGGTGCTTCTTCGTTCACCTTTTATGCTGTTTCACAAGTATAGTTTATTTCTTCTCTTAGCCATTACATCCACTTCCCCTTTAATTGATATTCTATATTTTGGTATCTATGTACTACTTATAAATCTTGTCAATGAAGCACACAACGTTGGAACTGTTTGAGTAATTCTCTTTTCATGTAAAGTTCCGGTGTTCATGTCTGAATGTATCGAGCTTCAGCGATGAAGAGGAGACGAAAGTATTTTGCCTTTGACAGGTTGTTCTTCACTTTATAAATTACTTTTGAAGGTGGAGTTTGTTGAGATAGAATGGCCAGTATCGCCAAGGAGTTCGATTATCGTACTCCCTACAAAGCCATTACTACCTTTCTGCGACCATGAGGTATAGTGTTGTTAAACCCTTGTAGACAGGAAATGAGACGAGCAACCAGTATACTCGGCTCCGCGGGAATAGGTGAATTGATATATGCACACAGAAGTGGTCAGATGCGATATCTTGTCTTCCAGGCTTCTTCAGACCAACGGATGTCTGGAAGACACTGTTCCTAACGTTGCAGCGCAGAAAGTTCTTAAAGACGCTGAAATCGTTCTCTTAAGAACATCACAAAGTAGATCACATTTGAAGTCAAGGCCTATATAAAGTTTATTTTTTGGCTCAGATAATGTCTCTTGTCTTTAAATTTTTGGACTGATGCTCGTGTCAGCGAATCTCAGTGGGTGTCATTTTGGATAAAGATTTCTTTCAGAAGGTCTAAGCTTTCTTCCCGAGCGTCTCTTCCCGATGCGAGAGGCAGTGGATTTAATTAGTTTTTGTCTTCGTTCAATAGGCACCCAACTGTAGAAACTTGTCCGTTGGCTGTTTCGTGTCACTATCCTAATGGGCAGACTTAGCTTAACTTTTACATTATGTAGCAATGAAGCCATTACCATTATCACTATGTTGATTATCTTGTTTGGGTAGGATAGAGATATCTTGAAATATGTGCTGGAATGTAATAGTATTTTAAGCGCATCTCGTATTTATTCTCCACCCGGAGTCATGGATTGGGTCTTGCAAAGGTGTAGTGTCAGTTATGAACATATTATTTTCTTGTCAACTCCTCAATCTAGGCAGCTCACTCATTTTAGGACATAAGACATAATATTAGAAGTGACGATTTATTTGGATAACAGACGTCAGGTTTTATACTTAACAGGAATTTTATTAGGTCTGCAGACTTGTTTCTTGACCTTATGCCAGAAATTCTGGGGTTATTACTACAATTGTTATTCGTTTCTGGCGTTTTGAATGGAACATAGGACTTCAGAAGTATGTCTCTATTGTGTTCCGTTCTCTACTTTCTTTTTTATCTAGCTTCACGACTGCCCACATGACTTCTTTCCTATCACCTATCTCACTCGTTCCTTCCTATTTGATAGCCTGTCTGAGGTATGTTGTCACTTGAAGGTCTTTTCAACTTATGTCCAATCCGCCTAAATTTCTTTCCTTATATTTGGTGGACGATAGGTTCTTCTCTAGTTAGCTGTACTGTTAGAGTTTCTTGCTGCTTATCATCTCTAGTTGGCTATCTGATTTCAGTATGGAATGAAAGTAGCTGTTCATGAAAGTCTGCATCAGACTACCGGAAATGCTTTTAGTGATGTATGCACTAAGTCCCTGAAGAACATGGAAGCATCGAAGTGACATTTTCCCCCATTCCTCGGCTTTCTGATGGGATACATGGTTCTAAGCCTCGAAGTTTCAGTAGCAGTGGTATTGTGGTGAGAGCAGGCTGCTAACCAATTGGTAGACATTAATCTTCCTCAATGTCTAGGTCACTAATATTGGCCGTTAGAAAATATGAACAAGGCTGATTCAGCAACCAATCACGGCGAACTTAACGTGGGCAAATATGATTCGCAGATAGGTGGCTCCATTTTCCGAGAAACCCGAAACAACCAATCAGAAGACTGCGTTTGTCTACTTGCATAAGCTATAATAATGTACATAAAATATATATAAATACGAGTTGATTTCCGTAAAAAAACGATCTGTTGCCGGCCCTCGTCTTCTGTTGTTACAGTATTATCTTTACGGAAAGGGTTTGCTGATCTCATGCCCAACCTTCCCTCTTTTTCGTTCTCATCGTCATCATGACAGTAAAGTGCGTCCTGTCTCCTGTGTTTAGTGGTTTAATATGGTGAGTAAAATCTAGGTTAGTCGTAATATTAGGTAAGAGGGACAGGTGAATCAATCAGGTTGTGAAACTACACCAACTGAGAAGGCTAGGACACATGTTACACAGGCTAAGTCACCGCTTTCCTCGTTAAGCAGTGTCAGCTGACATAGGATTAGGTTTGAAGATAGCTGGTGGTTGTCAAACCTGAACTGGACGTCAGTCCTAGAAATCTCTTACAGTTAGTTTGAATCACATGGGGAGGTGTAGACTGCCTGATTAGGGTCCCAAGGATGCGAAGAAATAATGGACGGAGACTGCTGATGATGTAGGTCAGTGTAATTCTCAATGGTTCGAATGCACACACCCTTTGTAATGTCCAAGACCCATTAATTTGTCTTCCATCATCTCCGTGTAATTGTTTTTTCTCCCATGCATTTTCGCTCATTTTAATTGTTTTGAATTTTCTCTTTCCCTACATTTGTGCGCTATATGTGCACTTCTGTACAATGTTCTACATCAATACTCAGTGGACACTAAATGATTCTACTTTTCAGTCGCAATGCCTCTTTTCGATGTCGAAATAACAAAACCAGTTAGATGTGCGTCGGTGGCACAGTGATCAGGACTCCCGCCGACCATGCACATGGTCCGAGGTTCGATCCTCTGCCGACGCACACCTGATATCTATGGTCGGCCTGCAAAATTTGGGCTACCGATATCTATGCTGAAAATTCCATACTTGTACCAAAAATACAGTGTGGAATCAAGCTGTAATCAAAAATAAATATTTCTGTTCATTTTCTACCTACTACTAAGTAGTGTGTTTCCAATGAAATAAAATTTGACCAGTCTTTCCGATTTCGACAAATCGGGCAATTATGAAGGAGCAGAACAATTTATAAGTTCTTCCTTGATTATACAATTTATTGTTGTATGTATACGTAAGGTTTCTTTGAGGAGAGATTGACAAAAATTAAACCACAAGTACTGTTCATTACACTTAGCTTATCCTACATTTCCCAAATCAGGTATGTTTTTGATCCTATATATATATATATAAATATATATATATATAATTTACAGATTGATTCCACACTATGTTTTTGGTACAAGTATGGAATTTTCAGCATAGATATCGGTAGCCCAAATTTTGCAGGCCGACCATAGATATTGGGTGTGCGTCGGCAGAGGATCGAACCTCGGACCATGTGCATGGTCGGCGGGAGTCCTGACCACTGTGCTAAGAAATGAAGTCTCACTATGTGTGTGAATGCAGTGATGGCTTTTTAGGTTCAAGAACACAGGCATTGGTTGTTACAACTGATTACAATTAACAAGAAAATCATACCCCGATGTAGACATGCAATGAAATACTTTTTAATTCATGAAAAGAATTATATGCCTTCAGAAATTATACAAATATACAAATTAATTTGAACAGCGCAGTTATATCCAGTGAAATAATGCATGTTGTGACTATTTTAAAACTAATGAATTGAATAGCTTTGGTAGAATATCTCCAGACTGTCCTTGAAAATGAAACTGTAATGAATCCGTTGATGGGGTAACTTCTATGTTGGTTTCAGCGACAGGAACACCTCTACGAGCTAAAGATGGAGCAAAACTTGCGGCTGGATATACAACAGCACTGGTACCGACAACTAGACAAACATCAGTATTTGACATAATTTCATCAACTTTAGAAAGAATATCAGGGTCAAGATTTTCACCAAACCAAACAGCATGAGGTCTTAACAAACCACCACATGTTTTTCACCAACCATATTTTGACAGCGTGGTAACTGTGATGCTGGGATTGGTTTGTATTTTTGCATCTTAACGTTTGGTAAACCACGACCTAATAATGCTGGGCATATTGGGCTGTCAGGATTCTTCCGGACATCATTACATTCCAAACATCGTGTTTTGTAAAGATTTCCATGTATCTCTAATACGTTGTGATTTCCAGCTTTTGTATGTAGACCATCAATATTTTGTGTAATCACATGAAATGAGCGGCCACATTCAGTGTACTGCTGCTCAGCATAAGCAAGAGCAAAGTGTCCGGCATTAGGCTGCCTAGTACGAACCAATTCACGCTGATAACGATAAAATTCCCATACTAGCCCAGGATCTGAGCGAAAAGCGCCAGGAGTTGCAAGATTCTGGGCAGAAAAGTTCCCCCAAGTGGCTAGCCAGAATTCGAGTGATTTGAACTAATTTGCCTCTCTGAACCCAGTCGAGATGGACTATAATCCAGCAAAAACGTCATCCAGTGTTTAACTCACTTTGGACTTCTCTAGTGAGCACTGCTAGTTGACGTTAGTGGTTTCTATCTACTTATATAAACTGATTAGTAGTATATAGCATAGGTAGCATAGTTTTTATTTGCTTAAAAATCATTCATAACTGAAAAGTTGCAAATCGATAAATATGTATACGCAAGGAATGCATATTTTTCTTTACTTATAATTTCCTATTCAACAATTGATGAGTGAGTTCATTTAGACTACTTCCTAGTCAGATAAAATAAGAATAAGAACTCTGAAACCATGTTGTTTATTAATTGCTTTGATTTCATTTTCATCACTAAATGACCAATTCATTTCACAGTGCACGAAACACTCTAGAATGGCATCATATATGGCGTATAGTCTAGCAGTCCACAAATTTATGGTTCAATGCCAGTTAGCGATCTGACCATCTCTAGCTTCTTGACACATATAAACTCACTAGTAAAGGGAATAAAATTCACATTTGAATTGGAAAATGAACAAGAAGAATTAGCCATGATGTTAGATTGTAAAATAAAACGAACAGAATAAGGTAATTTGCACACAAGCATTTATGAAAAGCCAAGGTATTCTGATATATATTTACATTTACACTTTAATCTATCTCATCCGTTATCTGTAAAGGCAGGCTTATTTAAGTGTCTAACAAACCGAGCAATAGCATTAAGTAGTACAAAAAAGACCTAAATGATGAAACGAAACAGATAGAAGAGGCGTTGGTGTTAAATAACTATCCTATAAAATTCATTAGGAAGATCAAGAAAGGCCAAAAGCAATTAAAAATAATGGGGAAACTGATAACGGTAGCACAAATAAGAGAGAATATAAGGCACCTCCAGTTCTACTGTAAAAGGAGGGGGTATCTGAGACCCTTCCTACGTAGGATTCCTAATAAAGCAGGAATTAAGGTGGCATTCACACCTAGAAACTCACTCAGACAGGACAAGCTCTGTGGGCTAAAGGACCCTGTCGATTGATTGGACGTCCAAATAGCTGTTTGAATGTGTGGATTTACTGTAAACACCAGTGTATAACTTCTCATCTTCTTTCCTTGTCACAATACAATCTAACATTGGAAGTTCCCCTTCCTGACTTTCCAATTTATAAGTGAATTGAATTACCTCCACCTCTGAGTTAATGTGTTCAAAAAATTTATCTATATCCTGTGTTCTAAGTACAGTGAATACGTCATCTACATATCTCCACCATACTTTTGAGGGGTGGGGCTGAACGTTTCAATCTCTAGTGTTTACAGGAAATCCACACATTAAAACAGATATTTGGACTTTCCGATCATCCCATCCTATGTCAGTAAAAATAGGATTGGTGAAATGTTTAAATAATAGAACACAAAAGCTGTGCGCAGACATTGTTTAAAAGAGTTCAAACACACAGTAGAAGTCCTGTGTTGAAGAGAATGGAGGAAAAATACCTACTAATAGTCTTCGAAAAGAATGGATATCCTCACTATTCCATCAAAAAGTGTTTAAACTCAAGTCATAAGACCAACAATAATAATAATAATTTTTCTTCACGTTCCCAGTGGAACATAGGGCTCCAAGATAGTGGCTTGAAGTTTCTGTAGCAGTGTTTAATTTTTACAGGATGGGGTCGCTAGCCTCATGCCCAACCTTCCCTCTATACCAGCATTATTTCTGGCTCAGTGAGGTAAAGGAGTGCGCCGGCCGGGGATCGAACCCCGGACCATATGCATGGTCGGCGAGCGTCCTAACCGCTATACCACCGACGCACAAGACCAACAATATGCCATCATCAAATATCACAAGAAAAATCATCCTACCAAATACAAGATAAAATATCTCTGAAATAACAGCTAGAACATTAAAACTGTTTGAAATAGACATAGCACACAAGCCAGCCAGTCCAATCAATCAATATTGTGCAAACCAAAAGATCCAATAGAAAAAGAAGATAAAATTAATACCATTTACAAGATAAATTGTATGAACTGCAATAAACATTACATCGGTCAAAGTGGGCGTCTCCTTCGTATAAGAATCCAAGAATACAAATTGGCTGTAAAAAGACATAATATATATCCTTTCATATCAGTCCATGTAGATAATTATGGACACCAATTTGATTGGGATAATATCGAAATTTTAAACAGAGGAAAAATCAAAAGTGCCAGAGAATTCCTAGAAGCCTGATACTCAAGTCAATTAGCCTTCGATTAACAAACACATTATTATAGACCAAATTTATAAGCTACTAAAAGGTAAATCACACGACAAGAAAGTTCAAATTCCAAGTCAATAAAAATTGATCAATAAAGACGTAAATCAACAACGAGTCATGACAGTGGTTACCAGGAGATACAATTACATCATTCATGGAGAATTTAAAAGAATCTATTTTATGCTAAAACCTACGCTGAAGATGTTGTCTATGAAGGAGGACAATGACAGCTTCGTGATTAAATCAACCTGCTTCCGTGATTTTTTTTTTCTGTGAGAACACAACTAATTCAAAGCAGTTTAGCTTAGTTATCAACCAGTATGTTTTCAATTCAATATCACTTGTATTTATTCCAGTTTAAATGCTAGGCTTATACGTATTCAGTATACATGAAAGCTTACTAAAGACTGTGCAAGGTAGCTGAGATGTACTAACTCACATCAATCGTGTTTGAGACTAATGTAAAATACTTGTCATAATCTACAAAATATTGTAAATAATAAGTAATTCACTAAAATATATTTAACTCTTCATTTTACTTGAGTTAAGTATTCTGTGGCTTTGTTGCTATTGGATGGTTGGAAGTAATCGTTAGGAAACCTTGCATGACCTAGGTTTCTTGCTAGTTGGCACTCACAAGTCAGCAAGGCTAATCTGTAACCTTGAAAGAACACATGTTCCTTCTAAGATTCGAACCTGTGTCGTCACCCAGTGCTGCAGTCATAGAGAGACGTTACCACTAAGCTATTCAGGCTCGCCGTCAACCGCCTAACATCAACAATTCAAAAAGCACCGTAATGGCAGGTCATATAGAATGGTGACCACATTGTAAACAATTGATTGATAGAATTCAGTCTGCACCAAACAAAGGACTAGACACACTACACTAGTCACTGACTAGTGTTCCAATCAAAGTATCTATGGCTTTCAAAACATTTGACAGCTGTTAGGGTATTGATTTATCATCATTACGTAACATTTAACCAACTCGAATAAACTCAGTGTACTCTAGTACCTCGGTACTCTAGTACCTGTTTAATCATGAGTTTACATAGTCTGTAAGCAATGATAACGCCACACAAATCAAAAAGCTCGACTGCTTGCGAATACACTTAATGGAGTCATATATATTTAAATAGAAGAAAGTCCTGGGGTTATGTTAAACAAAAAGTTTGTAATTTCACCGGGTAATATAGCTCAGCTAAGTACATATTAACCAGCACTAAAGAAAGCAGAAAATGGCAGAACCCTAAGTATCCTCATGTCAGCTAAAATTTTATTATTCTCTCGGGTTCCAAGTGGAACATAAAGATTCAGAAGCCTATATCCTTTTCATTCTATTCTCTATAGTCCTCCTTAGCTGGCTTCACCATTTTTCATGAGCTCTTATCTCTTCCTTATACGTTCTCCTCCATTTCACCCCCGGACCTACACCCAACTCGTTGTTTCCTATTCGGGTTCCTCTTGAAGGTCAAGTCTGTGAGAGAACATGATATGGAAGTAAATCCTAAAAGCTGTTAACTAAAGAGTCAATCATCTGTTCCGGTCACCCAGACGATAACTACTAGGTGGAATTTTACTTTGTTGATATTTCGGTAATTCTGTTCGACGCTAGGAAGTTGTACTGCAGAACAACTGTCCTTTGAAAAGTACATGCAATATATTTATTAATTTAGTGAAGTGAACTGAATTTAGACTGATGATAAAGATGAACCCATTGGATAATTGAAGCAGAGAAGACGTTCAGCGAAGAGACTCTTTTCAGCTAATTCATTCACATAGCTGTTCAATCGCATTTATATATAATTATTTGTGTGTGTGTGTGTGTGTGTACATGAGGTTTGTCAAGTTTAGATAATTGATCAGGTAATAAAAAAATGATCTAATATAGAAATAAGGTTAATCAGACAGCAACCCAGCCTTCGCTTTCCAAACGTATCACCGAACACTTACCAACATGGTTTTACAAAGATGAAAACGATGCCCTCGCAGCTCCATCTTAAAACATCTGATAGATTCTGGACACCAAGCTACACCCCAAACAAACTTCAAAGTCATCTACAGAGTAAGAAGTAGTCTTCCTAAAGGTGTATGAATCAGACTTCTTAAAACTGCAGAAGCAATGGTGGTTCACTCGCTAATTCCTGAACTCTGCATACAGAAGAAGTTCGTTCAATCACTACACTTACAATGGAGGTAATCTATCTAATAACTCGACAGGTAAATTCTACCTAATCTTTTTTTGTCTGTCTCTTCATTAGTATTATTTTGTCTTCTCAATTGTAATATTTTACATTTTCAACCTTCTTGTTCTCTACCCCCACCCGATTTAATTCCTACACCTCAATACCACTGTTACTCACTTGACCAATGCTCAATTTCCATTCATTTATGTTACGTCATCCAACTTATTTGCTCAATTTCAGTTCTAATTTAAATGGCATTATTCTCTACCCCACTTCTACTTAGTCTCTACCTGTAATTACTTCTGTTGCTATCCTGACCTAAGTTGAAACATTTTAGTCAATTATATTACATCATCTAACTTACTAACTCAATCTTACTTTAGTTGCTGTCTAATTAACATTTTTTCTATATTAGATCATTCTTTTATTACCTGATCAATTATCTAAACTTGACAAACCTCATGTACACACACACACACACACAAATAATTATATATAAATGCGATTGTACAGCTTTGTGAAGGAATTCGCTGTTGAACAAAGTCTCTTCGCTGAACGTCTTCTCTTTTTCATATGACTCAATGGGATTTTCAAGCTACTCAATGGATAATTCATAAACTAATGGAAAGTTTGTTAACGCTTTGTGCATGTTCATATAAAGTTTGTCAAGGTATTTGCATGATATATTATCGGGACGTTTAAGATTTCGACAAAACAATAGGAAGACGTAATTTATCTAAAACGTGTAATGTACCTGTGCAACACATTTCGGATAGTGTGACAACACACACATCTACTTGTCATATATATATACAAGTAATGGCTTTTTGTAGGGTTTTTTGTTTGATTGGTTGGAGGATTTCATCATGAGCTGACATCAGTTAGAAAACCACCAGAAAACCAGCCACAGGGAGTACTGCACAGCCAGCTGTTTCGTCAGACTAGTTTGGGACTCCTTATCAGTACGCACCCACCGCCAATGTTCAAACTCATAACCTTGTGGTTACAAGGCGAACTACCTCGTAGACCATTAAGCCACTGGGACCCAATCCAATGGTCAGTCCATGAATTCTAACTTCTGCCAATTCACAACATAGTGCGACCACTTCACAATGTCTTCTTCGATGAGTTACTGCCTCACCATCAACCTACGCTGACGCTAAAAGTATAAAGGATCAAAATTTTATCAATGTGGGTCAAAATGTTTACGCGGTAACTTTACAGGTAATAGACAGGATAACGAGATACAAAAAGAGAGGAGAGAAATATTATTAAGTAATGTAAATCTTGGTCTTAGCTTGATAACCAAGACAGGTTCAAAGTAATAAAAAATCATCTTTGCATACATAAAACACTTCTAAGCCATTTTATGGCTATGATTTCAAAGAATTTATGTATAAATGACCCAAATCAGTTTTATATACGGCTTGAAAGCACTACTGAAATCGATTTCATAATTTGCCTTTATTATGTGCTTTGCGATAAGTGACGGTGGACGTCAATTTCTGAGAATGATTGAATTAAGTGATTTTATTTGTTCCTGCAGCTACTTAAGATTGTGTTCTGTCGCCTTGGCGTGTACAGTGGTCGATGGATCCTCCCTATGCACGTTTATTGTGTATGAAATTAGTAAAAATACCGGAAAAACCTATTCATGAGTTATTACCACTATTTAAAAAAATATTTTAATCCTTTTCATTCCCAGTGTTACGTAGGACTTCAAGGCTTCAGCCCCACGTCCCCAACCTACCCTCTTTATCAGGCTTACTATTGCCTAAGCAAGTCTCAGGAGTCGAACCCTAAACCATGTGAATGGTTGGCAAGTGTTATACGGATGAACCACCGACACACACACACACACACTTGCACTCTACATCATAATTAAATGCCTATATCAATTTCCTTTCATCCAATACATATTTTTAGGTAAATGATAAAAGTTCATTTTAAAGTTAAATAATAGAAACCTATATAACTTGTCTACAATTGGTTGTTTTAAAAGTTATTATTGATCGTTAATCAGTTTACATTAAGGGATTATTATCTACACCTTATTTTTGATTGGTTAATTTCTCTACCCAGGCAGGAAATACAAATATGGAAATGCACAATATTGACATATACATTCCAAAAGCAAAACAGGAAGGTGAACATTTGTGTCTATACCAAAAGCGAAAACACCAAACACTCATCATCATCAACCAATTAAAATTCTACTTCTGTTTACTTATAATTCAATGGACCAGTGAAAATATCTGGGCATCGCAATAAAATCAATCAATCAATCAGTCAATCAGTTGTGTTGGCTAGAAGATCTGTTCCTGTTTTTCATTTATTTGTTGTGCAGTTTCAGGATTTCCTACTTATTTCACTGTTTACATCTATTTCTAATTTCTTATTCATACGCATACCATGGTAAGTTGAGAATTTCGCAACAGTGAATTAATGAATGTTTTTTTTTGGTTTAAATTTTCCAATTACCAACAGAATTTTATATTTATTTCTTTTATTAATTCTATTTTCAGAGTACTTTATCAAAAGCTGAAATAGAAGGTGAGTTGAACTACTTTGTTGTAAACACTTATTTATGCATTTCATTACATACTGATATGGAAGATGCATTGAACACACAGAAAGAATATTGAAATGATTATTTTGCTTTTGGTTCTGTTCCTTTGTTGTTGTTTTTTTTCCAACACCTCTAGATATCCGTGAAGTTTTCGACTTGTTCGACTTTTGGGATGGTCGTGATGGTATGATTGATGCAGTGAAAGTTGGTGATTTACTTCGATGCAGTGGAATCAATCCAACAATTGCTTTAACAGTCAAACATGGTGCCACCTTGAAACAAGGTTAGACATTTATTTATATGTATATATATATTTTCAAGTATTGGTTTTGTAGGGAAGCTGTGACCAATAGGGTACAGCGGGTTGAAGATGTGGCAGTAACTCATTAAAGAAGACATTGCGAATTGGTCACGCTATGTCGTGCGTGAATTGGCAGAAGTTAGAATTCATCGGCTGGCCATTAGGCTGGGTCCCAGTGGCTTAATGGTCCACGAGCGAGTTCGCCTTGTAAGAAGAAGGTCGTGGGTTTGAACCCTGGTGGTGGGTGCGTACTGATGAAGAGTTCCGAACTAGTCTGACGAAACAGCTGTCCAATACTCCCAGGTTTTCCAGTGGTTCTTTAAATGATATCAGCTCATGATAAAATCCTCCATGCAACATATATATGTTTATATATATCTTGATAGTTCGCTTAATTCCTCAGAAATTATTGATCATTTTATCTTTGGTGTATATGTTTTCCATGTAATCACAATGATCATTTGAATGAATAGGGTTTTAGGAAAGTCCTACTTAAAAGCAATACTAGGAGTCTGGAAGTCGCTTTTCCGAAATTTACTCATCCATCCTCATTTTTATCAAACTGTTTACTACTTACTGACCTGCTGATATGAGTAGTAATGCTTACTAGACAGCCAGGTAGAAGTCATCTAAACACTGGTTGGGTAGTCTCAACTCTACAAAGCCAGGCTAATCAACAGTATACCCGATCTGACTCAGATGAGATAGCCGAATTAGTACAAACCACCCGCCGAATTCCAGCTAGCCCGAGCTGCTCGGGCGATCTGTTAACCCCAGTCTGAAAAACTAATTTGCGATTTACACAGTTAGAGGAGGTGAACTTTCATCATAGTTTTCTTTGAAAACTGAAATTATCTAGGTGAAAAGGTGAGATCTGCTTGATACTAACATAAATAGTTATGATACCATTTATATACTACTCACTGACGGACTGTTATGAGTAGTGGTTGGATGCCACTGGCATTAGTCAGTAGTGCTGTTACATTTTGTTTTATAAGAATAACCTTGAAACTGAAGGCAGTCAAGTAGAACTTATTAGTTCTTGATAAGATAGAGTACTCAACTAGTTTATGAGTCAGTTAGTTGCGACCTTTTTGATACAGATTAAACAGGCTATGAGCTACTTCACAACTAAGGTTTACTCATTACTGTCTGCTGTTTATGACAATATACCACATAGTAAGAAGTATATCATCGTTTTCCATCTATTGTTTTGAATCGATTTCTAATGTAGAAAAGTGTTTAAACTAGATAACTAATCACCCAGAGTGAATTAACCATACAAGTTTGATCCTTGTAAGTAAACTATAGGGTTAAGAGTTAGTGAAGATTTTCAATATGTCTCTTTTAGATTTAGTTTCCGATAAAAACAAACGTTCATATCAATGTATCAAAATGAACAATAATGATGAAGAATACAGAAATATGATTGTATCTGTAATAGGAATAAAGTTGTATTGACTTTTCATTTTGTCATATAACCTATTTAGTCCGGTATTCAGTTACACACAAACCTATAATCCGTATCATATTACTTAAATAAAAGTATCATGAATCGATATAAAGGAGATTTTAATCTTCATTACCAAAGAGTCATTCTTGTGTAATCGAAATAGGCTTTTGTAATTCCAGTGACTAAGACTGTTGTCAATGTTTTAGTAATAAAATCGACAGTAGACATTTGGAGATATTCAACATTCCTTCTATTTAGAAATTTAAGTCACACATCAGCATATAGCCGTGAAGACACCAAGTACTTTTTAATTAACCTTCTGTCGGTTTTCTTAACGAAGATTATTCGTCTATTTTATTCTAAAATGCTAAACGGAATGTACTTGAAAATGTAAATGAAAAGATTGAAAGCGAGGTGTGTGTGTGTGTGTCGGGACCTAGTGACAGGATGGTCGCCAACTACACATATAGTCCGGCCGGTACACTCGTAATCCTCATTTGCTTCGTTGTAAGCCCGGTAAAGAGGGTAGGTTTGTCATGAACCTTAAAAGTCACGACCGTAAATGAAACTTCAAAGCTCCTCTCGAAATGCAAAGCAGGGAAAAAACGAGGTGACATGTTTTATCACAAGTATACATTTTAGCTGCTATTGTCAAATATACCATTGTACTTTTTTCGTTTTTTTCTAAATAAATTCCTATAGGAGAGAAACAATACAAATTCGATGAATTCCTTCCTTGCTATGAAGCTATTCTTAAAGAGAAAGAAACAGGTACATATGCTGATTATATGGAAGCCTTCAAAACATTTGATCGTGAAGGTCAAGGTTTTATTTCAGCTGCAGAAATGAGACATGTTTTAACAGGTTATGGTTAGTTTTGTTAATTATGCAAAAAAACAACAACAAATTAATTAATTTATGTGAATAGGTGAACGTCTTGAAGATGAACAAGTCGACTTGATAGTGAAATTGATTGATTTACGTGAAGATCTTGATGGAAATATCAAATATGAAGGTTAGTACTCTTTGAGTTATCATGATTATTATTTTCAAATCTCCGATTCTTTTCATCTCTGAATGCATAAGTCATCGAGGTGTGCTCCAGATAATTTAACTTTAGTTAAATGTTTGAAGGGAGGCAAATGACTGGAAGTTATGGGCCTAAGTTTTGTGATTGTTAACACTCGCCGACAAGAACGTGTCTGAAACCTTGAAGGAACTCATATCCCCTTTGAGATTCAGACCTGCATCATCCACTGCTTCAGACAGAGACCTTAAGCTCCCCCCTCATCTGTTTAGGCTCACAGTTGTGGCATTTCTGTTGTTACAAGTTTGGGTATCACAGTAGATATATACTTAGCGAGATGCACTATTCTGCGAAGAAAATAACCTGAAGGTGTCTGTTACGTCGAGGAAGCAGTTCAGTACCAACCAATTTATACTGGTTAGTTCCCCTGGATTTCAAATGTCTGTATAACTTTCTAATAGTCAAATGGAAACTCTGCGTTCAAAACGATCTTTAACAAAAGACAGTTTATTAAGATTAAGAAATGAATTGTAGTCAACCCGAGTAAGGGAGGAAACTATCTGCTTGAGCATATTTTAAATTTTTCCGCATATCTTTTGTCAACTAATAAGTTGACACATATTTGTCTGCGAAATACATTAAATTTGAATTGTTTCTTCGTTGTTTAAATTGTAGAATTAATCAAGAAAGTTTTGGCGGGTCATTCCAAATAAAGTGTTTAAAAAGGAGCTCCTTATTGTACCTGAAAAGAAAAGAATGAGAGAAAAATGTTTATTTACAGTTCACTCCAACTGATTTTTCTTCAAATAAACAAACAAGCGGACAGACAATCAACTGTTAACTCGGTAAATGAGCTAACTACTAACTACGTTGGCCTCTCTCTCTCTCTCTCTCATATAATTTCGCCTATCATCAAGTTTAGTTTTAAAGTTTCAATATTAAGCATTATTGGTAGATAAAAGTGATGTATGACTTCCTTTCTGTCTTTTTTCTTTTCTTTTTTTCTTTCTTCAAAACCCAATAATATTTCCCGCCAACTTTCTTATGCATGAAATCCACAATGATTGTGTGTATTGTATAATTATGTTATGAGTATTCAAGACTTTCTGCATAAATGTTAAGCATATGTATCTTTTTCCTACATTTAATGTCTTCTACCCTCGTTTTCTGTCTTATCTTTTACAAATGCATTAGATTTATAAATGTCTTATCTAACTTCTACAAAAAAAGAATACATTCAGCTTTTTTTATGATGAACCTTCAAAATAAAATAACCAACCGAATAAACTGTTTACCCTTTAAAGTGTTTAGTAGTCTTTTGAAATGAACTGATTATATGTTTGGATGGTTGGGAAAAGGGGAAGGTGGGAGGAATCCCTGGACCTAGGTTTCGTGTTCATTAGCAGTTATCGTCAAGGGTGTGTCTGTAACCTAGAAGGGACTCACATCTCCCTTGGGATGTTTGGCCCGCATCACCTAGTGTTTCAGTTAGACATACTATAGCTGAACTATTTGGGCTCGTGATTGACCTCTTGTAGGACTGTAACGTATCCATTGATTGGTTGCTAGTAAGCAGTGTTATACGTCTAGTCCTTTTTATTGATATAGGTTGAATTTTATTAATCAGGTTTGCTATGCGGTCACCCAGCTAGATGGTTCGCCGTCACTCTAGTCTGGTGTCAGAAAATCATGGGGTATGTCTACGCTGGAGCTATCCAGAATATTATTCCACAGAAAATTAATTCCTGGTGGAATCATTTCGAATTCAGAATAGTTTTTCAACTTGAAATGTTCCCTAGTGATAAGGTCACAAAGATATTTTAGTGAAAAACATTTATAAAGTTTTCAATAATTGGTTTGTAAGGATTAGATTTTTTTCGATGAGTTCATCACGAATCGATATCAGTTAGAGAACCATTGAAAACCAGTATGGAGTCCTGGACAGCTGTTTCATCCTGCCGATGATTCATAAACTAGGGTAAAACAGCTGTCCAGTACTCCTTGGTATTCATTAAGTTACTCAGAATTGTAGTAGTATTCGACGTCATTCTGTAGAAAATATATTGATCTATCATAGTGTTATCAATCGACCTAATTTTTGAAGTTGAATAACAATAACAAACTACATAGGTAGTTGGATGATCTACACAGCATTTATTGTCAACGAGGTTATTTTTTCAGATGCATTTATAAAGATTGAAAGTATAATTACTGGATTTAGCGGCTTAGTATGCCATTAAAACAATTTTCCACTGCAAAAATTGCTGAGGAAAGAATCTCTTAATTCAGCACATGCTGATATTGATGGCAAAAGGTTAAAAAGGAGATATTTTTCAATTCTGAAAAGATAAGGGGTTCGTTAGTGATATCAGAAAGTCATAACTAACAGGAAGATCAACTCAAATTTTCCAGTAAATGGAGAGGAACCACCTAAAGAAAGCCTATTAGGATCATTGAATCTTTGAGGTTGACTTAAGGATATTTGTAAGGGAGGAACAGATACATTCGGCGTTGATATACTCAAATCATACAATACTTGAGGAGTGAAAATGTGGGTGATTTTTAATAATTCTGTGTAGAGCGATTGAAGAACTTTGATTATATCAGTAAAAATCATTTTACAGAGTGGCTGACAGCGATTCAGTTATTTCTCCTTATTTGATGCTTAGCATGGCAATACCTAATGGAATAAATCATTTATCACAGAATGTGGCCAATACCTAACTGCTATTCAAGTGTATCTGTGAATTCTGTTCCACTGTGTGTAACTCCCCAACAGTTTGAATTTCCTGTGTAAGATTTTATTTGATTTCGGTTAGACTACTTTTATTTACGCATCGATACAATTCATGTTTCGTTATATTACATAGCTACAAGATATATCACTAACGCTGTAAGCAATGAGATAACAAGCAGTTGTCTGTAGGGATTTGATAGATTAGTTACAGGATTTCATCATGAACTGACGTTGATCAGTGAGCCTTTGGAAAACCTCAAAGTACTTAACAACAATTTCGTCCTAGTTTAGGACTCTTCATCAGGACGCACCCGCCGGGGTAAGAACTCTGTAACCAATCAGTCAAATTCCTACGAACCAATACTTGAATATCAATCAGATCCTCGCTATGGACTGGCCCTATTCAGGTAGATAGTTACCTGGGGTTCTAATGGGAAGTCGTGACCAGTAGGGTACAGCAAGTCGGGTGTGAGGACAAACACTCGTCGAAGACATTGGCTAGTGGCCGTGCTATGTCGTAAATTGGCAGAAGTTTTAATTCACTGACCACTGGCTCGGGTCCCAGTGTCTTAATGGTCTACGACCTCATCTTGAAGCTAGAAGGTTCTGGATTCGAATCGTGGTGGGTGCGTGCTAATGAACAGTCCTAAACTTCGATGAAACAGCTGGCTGTCCAATGGTTCTCTAACCGATGTCAGCTCATTATGAAATTCTGTAACTAATGTGATAACAGTTTGATATTCTATGATGATTAAATAAGTGAACGTATGTAAAGTGTTTAGACTCTAGATTGCATTACTATATAATGGATCTAAAGTGGTACATTCAAATGTTTTAATAACCGTTTAGTAATATCACCAATTCATACTTATTGATAAAAACATTCAAAAGGATGAGCTTGGCCTCAGAAGAGAGAAACGAACATTCTGTGTGTAGATCATTTCAGTCTGACTGGCTAGCAAGCACTAATGGTTGATGTGACTAGTCTCCGCCTACTCATATTAATCATTCAGTAGTATATAGCATCACGCATTTGTGCTTGTTTTCTTAATTTCCACTTATGCTAGTATCAAATAGATCATATATTTTGTGTCATCTGAATAATTTCAGTTTTCAAAGGAGACGGTGGTGAAATTTCACCTTCTCGAACTGTACAAATATTAAATGGTTTATTAATTTACTAATTAAACAAGTAGCTACCCAGAATACTGATGGCTTAGACTAGTTCGGCTCTCTGAGTTGAATCAAATTGGATACACTGTTTATAGGATCTGCTTGAAAAGAGTGGAACGACTGTCCAGTGTTCGGATGACTTCGATATGACCAGCCAGTGAGCATTACTATTTGATCCCTATGGTACCCAACTGCTACTCATATCACATAACTTCATGCAGAATTACTCGAATTCACATACTAAGTATGTGTGACTTTTCTCAAGCCTTACTAGAAATGGTATTACTACTTTCTTCTTTGATGCAATACCTTATTTCATATAATGTAAAGAGAGATAGAGAATATGCCATTTATCATGTAAATTATGCTTTCATAGAATTACACCCTACTATCTACTCTAATACCACTACTTTGTCTTCAGGTGACTCGGACTACCGAGTAAATAACTGTCAAAAATTATCAGTTTCAAGAGGAGTATTTACACTTTTTCTCACTGATAAACAAGTCTCAAAACTAGTGCACTATGTTATTCAGCTCCATAAGAATGCCGGAAATTCCTACCATCTGATTAAACGAGTCTTCATTACTGACTGAGTAATCGACTGAAATATAAGTTGTTTGTCGTCGTGTTATTTTCAGTTCTACAGATAAACAGACTGCCTAAAGAGTAACAAAGCATTATTGATCTACACATATTGAAAGATTTACTGGGATTAGTCTTGATAATGCTGCGAAATATATACAAATCTGTAAGCAGCTGACTTTCAGAAATTTTTCTCTAATCTGCTTTTATCAATGCAACGGCTTTCAGTAATATTTCAATTATGAAATTCAACATGAATCGTTAAAGAATTTACGATGGTAGACTGTTTCACATGTAAACTTTCTTTCAACTTGTTTCTGTGACATGGAGTTTGCGACTCGGTTTGTGATCGAATCTGTCAACAGTCAAATCTCTGCAAACCAACTCTTGAAAATTAACGGAATGTTTACTAATAACTGGGTCTTTACAGGAGGTTACCTGGATTTCCAGTGAGAAATCGTAGCAAGCTAAGTCCACAAGTCAGGTAGGAGAACGCTTATTCACCGATGACACCGACTGGAGGATGCACTATACATATCTCGAATCGACAGAAGCTGAAATTCATGGGTAACTGTATTGGGTTCCCGTTGGGTGAACAATCGACGAGATTACCATGTAATTGAAAGGTTCTAGGCTCAAACCCTGGTGAGTGCATACCGTGAGTAGTCATAAACTAGGACGAAACATCTGTCTAGTACTCTCTCTTTTTCCGGTGGTTCTTTGGCCGTTGTCAGCTTGTGGTCAAACCTGTAAACAGCCTAAGTAGTTAGGGTTAATGCTACAATTGCTGTAAAGCCTACGGGATTTGAGTTTTAATTCTAGTGAACTTATGATTGTCACTCATCTAAAATTTGAGCAACTACACTTCTTACAGTCATCAGGTGAACAATTTGTATCGACACTCATTTATAAAATAACGTTGTCTCATAAAGTTCATATGAAGGTAATTAGCTATCACTAGTATTTCTTTCACTCCACGTGTTTTGATCGTAACATAGGGCCCCAAACTTTTGGGTCTCAGCAGCTGCGGTTTTGTTTTTAGAAGGTGGGTGTGCTTCTAACCTTACCCCCTTACTTTCCATCGTTTCCAAGCTTATTACGAGCCAGGCGGGATTTAAGAGGGAGTCAGCCGAGAATCGAACCCAGACCTCCCACATGGCTGATGAGCAATTTAACGCTAAACCATCGATGCACTATGGTTAAGTATTTCACTTTTTCAC